ATGCTGCAGTGAACACTGGGATGTATATATATCTTTTTAAATTAGTGTTTTGGGTTTCTTCAGTCACATACCCAGAAATGGAATTTCTGGGTTCATAAAAGTCTTTTTATAAATAGTTTGATTCAGGATCCAAACAAGACCTATACATTGCATTTGGGTGATGTGCATCTTAGATCTCTTTTGACCTCTAACAGTTCTCAGCCTCCTTTTTTTCTTGCAATGTATTTGCTGAAGAAACTGGGGCGTTAATCCTGTTTTATTCCTGATTACATCAGAATCACATTCTGATGATGTCATTTAACATACTCTATTTCTCATATTTCCTATAAACTGATAGTTATATTTAAAGTCCTGTTTGTTTGTTTTCTTAATCCTTACCTGAGGATATTTTTTCCATTGCTTTTCAGAGACAGTGGAAGGGAGAGAGAGAGAAACATCAATGAGAGAGAGAGACACACTGATTGGTTGCCTCCCCCACGCACCCCAACCAGGGCGAGGGATCGAGCCTGCGAAGGAGGCACATGCCCTTGGCTGGAATTGAACCCAGGACCCTTCAGTCTGAGGGTCGACACTCTAACCACAGAGCCAAACCGGCTAGGGCAATTCATGTTACCTTATCTTGTTTTGTGTTAGTCATTTTTATTATGAGCTACTAACTTTCCTTGGAAAGTGATTTGTAGGAGTTCTTTGGTGCCTAGGATGAAGGGACATTTTTCCTGGGTGGATTTGTGTTTGCTTCTGCCAAGTGCCTAGGGCATTATAGTCTCCTGCTGGGAGCCACTTAAATCTAAATTTACTGCTTGAATTTTTTTAAATCACCAAATGTTGTTACGTTGGACCACACATTTCTTTAAAAGCTTACTTGTGGTCCCAAATTCACCTGTTCCATTTGGCACCAAGCCAAGCTTCTCTGCAGTTTCCTGGAGATGGAGAGCTGGGGACAGCTTCACTACAGGGAGGATTCTCCCTCAGACTCACCACCTTGAGTGAGCCTTCTGTGGCTTCCTTTAGAAAGTAAAAAAAAAAAGAAGCCTGACAGGGCGTGGCTCAGCGGTTGCGCATTGACCTATAGGATCCAGGAGGTCACGGTTCCATTCCCAGGCGGGGCACATGCCTGGGTTGCCGGCTCCATCCCTGGGCGTGGGCGTGCAGGAGGCAGCCAATCAATGACGACTCTCTCATCACTGGTGTTTCTATTCCTCTCTCTCCTCCCTTCCTCTCTCTAATATCAATAAAGATATATTTAAAAATAAGAAGAAAGTAAAAAAAAACAAAAACCACCACAACAAAGCTCAATTCTGAAATGTTGTAAACGTCCTCAAAGCAAAGGAAAGTGCAATGTTTCAAATACCTCTCTAGGTTTCTGACTTCATTTAGATTTAGGCTTGTTAATTCTTTACCATGCTTTACCATGCTTGTAAGCTTTTCCAGCCCAACTTTTTTACTTTCATTGGCATTAGCCTTCTCCCCCTCATGATAAGTATCTAGAAAGCCCCTCAGCTTCCTAGATACTTATCATTAATATAGCCCTAAACTCTCCTCTGGTTTTACAAATCTCTTCTCAATAAGTTCCAATGCATTAGGTATTCTATCAATTTTATTTCTTGAAGAAGTCACTCCTAACTCCTCTGATCTTGATGGATTGATTTCTAGCTCTGCCCTACAACTTGGAATCTCCCTTCACCATTGCCCTTGGGATTCCTTTTGTTTCTCTTTTCTGCTGGATCTTCTGTTTCTTGGATTTCATNATCGAGCCTGCGAAGGAGGCACATGCCCTTGGCTGGAATTGAACCCAGGACCCTTCAGTCTGAGGGTCGACACTCTAACCACAGAGCCAAACCGGCTAGGGCAATTCATGTTACCTTATCTTGTTTTGTGTTAGTCATTTTTATTATGAGCTACTAACTTTCCTTGGAAAGTGATTTGTAGGAGTTCTTTGGTGCCTAGGATGAAGGGACATTTTTCCTGGGTGGATTTGTGTTTGCTTCTGCCAAGTGCCTAGGGCATTATAGTCTCCTGCTGGGAGCCACTTAAATCTAAATTTACTGCTTGAATTTTTTTAAATCACCAAATGTTGTTACGTTGGACCACACATTTCTTTAAAAGCTTACTTGTGGTCCCAAATTCACCTGTTCCATTTGGCACCAAGCCAAGCTTCTCTGCAGTTTCCTGGAGATGGAGAGCTGGGGACAGCTTCACTACAGGGAGGATTCTCCCTCAGACTCACCACCTTGAGTGAGCCTTCTGTGGCTTCCTTTAGAAAGTAAAAAAAAAAAGAAGCCTGACAGGGCGTGGCTCAGCGGTTGCGCATTGACCTATAGGATCCAGGAGGTCACGGTTCCATTCCCAGGCGGGGCACATGCCTGGGTTGCCGGCTCCATCCCTGGGCGTGGGCGTGCAGGAGGCAGCCAATCAATGACGACTCTCTCATCACTGGTGTTTCTATTCCTCTCTCTCCTCCCTTCCTCTCTCTAATATCAATAAAGATATATTTAAAAATAAGAAGAAAGTAAAAAAAAACAAAAACCACCACAACAAAGCTCAATTCTGAAATGTTGTAAACGTCCTCAAAGCAAAGGAAAGTGCAATGTTTCAAATACCTCTCTAGGTTTCTGACTTCATTTAGATTTAGGCTTGTTAATTCTTTACCATGCTTTACCATGCTTGTAAGCTTTTCCAGCCCAACTTTTTTACTTTCATTGGCATTAGCCTTCTCCCCCTCATGATAAGTATCTAGAAAGCCCCTCAGCTTCCTAGATACTTATCATTAATATAGCCCTAAACTCTCCTCTGGTTTTACAAATCTCTTCTCAATAAGTTCCAATGCATTAGGTATTCTATCAATTTTATTTCTTGAAGAAGTCACTCCTAACTCCTCTGATCTTGATGGATTGATTTCTAGCTCTGCCCTACAACTTGGAATCTCCCTTCACCATTGCCCTTGGGATTCCTTTTGTTTCTCTTTTCTGCTGGATCTTCTGTTTCTTGGATTTCATCTTTCTCTTTTTTTTTAATCTTTATTTATTTCAGATAGAGGAAAGGAGAGGGAGAGAGAGAGATAGAAACATCAATGATGAGAGAGTCATTGATCAGCTGCAGCCCGCAACCCGGGCATGTGCCCTGACCGGGAATCGAACCTTGATCGCCTGGATCCTAGGTCGATGCTCAACCCCTGAGCCATGCCCGGCTAGGCCGATTTCATCTTTCTCTTTATTGACTTACTGATTTGTCTTGGTGTAACAAATCCTTTCCTATCTTTCTGAAAAACAATGCCTGGAGTATCAATATTTTGAGACCTTACATATCTGAAATTATCTTTATTCTGGACTTAAAATTAAACCAGTTCAGCCAAGTGTAGAATTTTAGTTTGGAAATAATTTCCTTCTAAATTTTGAAGGCATTTCTTCATTGTATTCTACCTTACAGTGTTGATGAATTGATAAACCTAATGCTGCTCTGATTTTTCACCCTTGTATGCAACTTGTTCTATCTCTTCTGAAACTTTTGGAACTGTTTCTGAGTCCAGTGTTCTGATATTCTATAATGATGTGTCTTGGCGTGGCCATGATTAGTTCTGCTGGATACTTACCATGACCTTTTATTTTTAAATTTTTTAAAAAAATATGTTTTTATTGATTTGAGAGCAAGAGGAAGGAGAGGGATAGAGAGAGAGAAACATTGATGAGAGACATGGTTTGGCTGCCTCCTGCACGCCCCCTACTGGGGATCAAGTCTGCAACCTGGGCGTGTGCCCCGACCGGGAACTGAACAGACAGACCTCTTGGTTCCCGGGTGGACGCTCAACCACTGAGTCACAGCGGCCGGGCATTTACTAACTTCCCCACCTTTCAATATGTTTTTATTGATTTCAGAAAGAGGAAAGGAGAGGGAGAGATAGAAATATCAATGATGAGATACTATGAGATATCAGTGAGATACTGATTGGCTGCCTCGGGCACTGCACTCCCTGTCCTGGGGATGGAGCCCGCAGCCCCCGCAAGCGCCCTGACCAGGAATCCAACCCCATCTCCGGGATCGTAGGTAGATGCTCACCCGCTGAGCCACTCCCTGTTCTTATTTTATGGTTATATTATCTCTCTGAGGATATTAATGATGGATTTTTTTGTTTGTTTTATTTTTAATTCCTTCCCCCCTTACTATTATTTCTGTTTCTTCTAAATTTCTCTTTTCCTGCTTGCTTGTTTTGCTTCCTGTATTGTATGGTAAAGACTTTCCTCAAATGTCTAATGATCCTTGGCTATCTGCTTCTATTTAAGAGTGAGGACATTAAAAGGCTTATTGGAAAGACTGGGAGGGTTCGTCATGTATGCCAAGGGCTTCATTGTAGGATTCCTTCATCTGTTTCATTCAGAGAGCCCTGATGAAAGTATCTTTGGGATTTCTCTTTGGGGCTGGTCAGATTCTCCAGAGAAGTTTTCCAAGGATATAATCATGCTCTTGTTTACCTTTGTTTAGGAATCAATTTCTCAGGTTTCCTAAATCAATTACTATTCCTTCATTTCCTTTTTAGCTTCTAAAATGTAGCTGCTGTTGTCTCCTTTCCCTCTCTCTTTGTTTTTATATGGCCTGGAGGATAATTTGCGCATCCCCGCCCCATTAGTCTTTAATGGAAACCGCCATTGTTTATTTATAATTTTATTGGAGGGCAACATAGTATACAGACAGAATTGACACAATTACCAGATGGCCCTAAAGTTGTATATATATGAAAAAAGAAATGCTCTTCTGTAATAGTTTGTTTTGCAACAAATAATCTTTCAGGGACGTTGCATTCACCCACTCATTGACGTCAGTCCTCCGCTTGGCGGGGGCAGGATACAATGCAAGAAAGGACTAAAAAGGTAAAAGAAATGCTAGTGACAGCTGTGCAAGGACAGAATAAAACGGCTTTCAGGGGCCCAGGGCAGAGACCGCGCCTCTCTGGAACTGGGAGAGGGTGGGAGGGAGTCTGATCTCGTCGATGATTGGCTAACGTCTAGGACCAATCACGCGTAGCGAGTGGTTTTGCTACTCTTCGTGATCCACCTCCACGTGGGCTTTAGAGGCGCATCTACAAATGGGACCAGAGTACGTGAGAGGGACAGGACAGCTAGCCAATGAGACTTCGGGATGTTAATAGACGTGGTGAGGCTGCTGCCAGGTTGAGGGCGGAAGGAGTTCTGGCTAAGACGGGGAGCGAAAGATGGCGGCAGAACCGCTGCTGTCCAGGCTGTTGGGGTTGCTGCTTTTGGGACTCTTGTTACCCGCAAGCCTGACTGGCGGTGTCGGGAGCCTGAACCTGGAGGAGCTGAGTGAGATGCGTTATGGGATCGAGATCCTGCCGTTGCCTGTCATGGGAGGGCAGGTGAGGAGGCGTAGAGCGGAAGAGTGTCCTGGGCAAGGGGAAGGGGGGAAAGTAAAGGAAGAAGGGCAGCTGTGGAGTCTGCGGCGGGAGCCTAAGGAGAATCGGGAAGAGTAGGCAGGAGTTTTACTATGTCTCCTGAGGATCCAACGGATCTCAGGAGGATCAAGCAGACTGAGCCCCATTCCCTTGGAGCCAGGGACTGGGAGGGTGGGGCTTCCCGCTGTCAGCTTGGGTTCCTCATCGAAACCCCCTCGCACTCCGCCCGCTGGAGAAGGGGTAGTGCTCCCTCCGCACGCGAGCCGAACACAGCTGGAGGACTTGTGGCCCATTCTGTTTTAACTGGGCTTTACCCCAGGATCCGAAGAGGGATCTCATTGTTCTTCCTGACCCCAGCCTCTCTTTGCCTCCCTGTCCCCGACTCTCCCCCCCTTTTTTCCCAGAGCCAAGCTTCGGACGTGGTGATTGTTTCCTCTAAGTACAAGCAGCGCTATGAATGTCGCCTGCCAGCTGGAGCCATTCATTTCCAGCGTGAAAGGGAGGAGGAGACACCTGCTTACCAAGGGCCTGGGATCCCCGAGTTGCTGAACCCAATGAAAGATGCTCCTTGCCTGCTGAAGGTGAGGGAGCCTGGGATGGACGGAATGAGGGCGAGGGAACTATGCGTCTGAGAACCGGAGTGTCAGTGAGAAAGGTGGAGTGGGGAGGACCTGTCAGAGTTAAGAAGGCCATTGGAGGCGTAGACATGTTGTACAGAGAGGAAAGAAGCAAAGAATCTTGCAACCACTGGTGCTGAATATAGAGAAGGGTTAGGATAATCTCAGAATAAGGGTTAAGCCAACATTGAGGTGCCTAAAGAGGGTCAGTGTGGGCTGAGATGGGCTCTCCCCTAGGGAAGCCTTCCTGGTAAAGTCACCCACTGTCCCTATCACCCTGCCCCAGTATCCTATTTTATTTTCATCATGGTGCTTTTCATGATCTGAAATCATCTTATTAACTGAATCATCAGTTTGTTTATTTTTGGTCTGAGTCCCAACATTAGAATGTATGTCCATGAGGTCAGAGACTTTAGCTGTATCCCCAGTGGCTAGAAGAGCACAAGAAGTGTTATAGACGTCCAATTAATATTTTATGTTTTCCTGGTCTGAGTGCTTCAAGAATACCTTGATTTCTTACCTTTATGGAGAGCAAAGAGGGTTTTTTTAAATCTTTTAAAAGGGAGGTGTAGAAAGCCCACAGGTGGAAAACAGGCTTTTTCTAAAAAAAAGATTTTGAGATTTTTTTATTGATTTTTAGAGAGAGGGAGAGAAACATCAATGTAACGAAGCATCAGTTGGCTGTCTCCTGCATGCCCCTTACTGGGGATGTGCCCTGACCAGGAATCGAACCACAACCTTTCCATTCACAACACCCAACCAACTGAGCCACACTGGCCAGGGTGAAAACAGTTAGGCTTTAGAGGTATCTCCCTGAGTCACAGAGTAAAACAACCCTCCCTCCTCTCTGAGAATCTGGCGAATTGAGTGTGGAAGCAGAGGGAGATGAGAAGTAGATGAGAGGTTATGTGTCTTGGAGCCAGGAGAAATTTTGGTTCCAAGAAGAGACATCTGCACTGCATCTCCATGATTTTTTAAATTTTTATTGTCAGACCAAGGACTGGTGGACATACGAATTCTGTTATGGACGCCACATCCAGCAGTACCACATGGAAGGTGACTCACGCCTACATTTTCCCTAAGCCCTCAGCACCCTGTCATGGAAGGTGACCTGCCTCTCCAATCCCCTTCCCTCCTAGTCCTCAGAAGGGAGTAACTGATTCACTGTGGTTTCTCTTGCAGATTCAGAGATCAAAGGTGAAGTCCTCTATCTCGGCTACTACCAATCGGCCTTCGACTGGGATGATGAAACAGCCAAGGTGGCAGGAGTGTGGGATTGGGAGAGAAAGGGTTGCTGGCTGCAAACTAAAAGCCCTGACAAGAAGGGGAGGGTCAGGATTAGCTGATATGTTTCTTGGAGTGTGGTGGTCATTCTTCCCCCTTGCTCTCTTTCTCATGCCCCATCTCTCTCCTGCCTGATGTTCTTACTCCCCAGGCCTCTAAGCAGCATCGCCTGAAACGCTACCACAGCCAGACCTATGGCAACGGGTCCAAGTGTGACCTCAACGGGAGGCCCCGGGAGGCTGAAGTTCGGGTGAGTCTTGAAAGAGGGAAGTTGATACTTCCTCGGTGACAATTCAGATTCTAATGGAAGAAGGCAAAGTTGCATTTACAATCAAGACGTTCTCTCCCAGGCCCTAAAGCCTAACTTTAAGACTCATATTTCTAGCTACCAGCTGGATGTCACTGCCTGGAGATTCAGAAGCAGTTCTAGTCAACATTACCCAAATCCTCCCCTCTAAACCCCCAAACATGCTTACTCTTTTGTACTTGTGTCTCCTTTCTGTCACCTAAGCTAGAAATCTGAGTGTTATTATTTGACTCTTCTTTCTCCTTCTCTGTCTTCCTTTCTTCATTTAATGACTCTTCTGTGAAATCATGCTGGTGTAGGTATTAGGCTCTGCTCTGGGGACACATGGTGGGCAAACATGCAGCCCCTGCCCTCACGAAATGCACAGTCTAGAAAGGAAGACAGATGTTAACAAAAGAATCACAGAAATGAGTCTGAGATTACAAACTGAGGAGTGATATGGAGAAAAGGAATTTAGTTTTCTCAGAGTAAATACCAAAGCCCATTTATTCTATTCTAGATTTCTCTCACAGCTCTCCTCTTCTTTCTTGTGCTTGGTACCTTCATCCCTCACCTGCATAACTGCCAATAGCCTCTCTCTCTCTTTTTTAAGGTTTTTTATTAATTTTTAGAGAGAGAGGAAGGGAGAGGGGGTTATAGAGAAAGAGAGAAACATCAATGTGAGAAAGAAACATCAATCAGCTACCTCTTGTACACCCCCTACCAGAGATCAAGCCGCAACCCGGGCATGTGGCCTGACCAGGAATCGAACTGGCAACCTTTTGGTGCATGGGATGACGCCCAACCAATTGAGCCAAACCATCCAGGGCCCAACAGCCGCTCTTAACAAGTGTTCCTGATCTAGTTTCCTTAGTGAGTTCAGGCAGGCAGGCAGATGTATGGTGGGAAAAGTTTCTTAGGTGATTCTATTGTGCATTTACAAATACACCTGTAGAGAGCCACGTGACACAAGAATTATCTTTCTGTAATACTGATTTGCACATGCAGTTGTATGCTGGTAAATGTTGAACAGCCAGATTACCAGGGTATAGGGTAAAGGGGGTGAAGAGAGGATCCCTGATATAATGTTTGCCAATATCCCCACCATGGTTCAATTCATGCTATCACCATGATGTCAACTGTATTACAAAATTCTTGAAAATTTCCCAGTTGGCTCTTGTGAACTAGTGTGAGCTGGACCCAACACAGCACTATAAGCATGTGTCACTCCTCTGCCCAGACCAGAAAACCTTTGATGATTCTGCCTTGTTTAAAGGGTAAGTTCCAAATATTTCAACTCAGACCAAGGTGGTAGCAGCAGAGGTGGTGGAGAACAGTTGGATTCTGAATGTATTTTGAAGGTAGAGCCAATAAGATTTGTTGATAGATTGGATGTGGAGTGGAGTCAAGTATGACTCCAGGGTTTTTAGCTTGAGCAACTGGAAGAATGGAACTGTCATTTAGTAAAGTGGGAAGGAACAGTTTTGGAGGAGAAAACTAGGTTGGTGTTGGGCATATGAAAGTCAAATGCCTATTTAGACATTTCAGTGGTGATATCCAGCTGGTAGTTGGCTCTGATATTTTGGAGTTAGGGATGAGGTCTGGCTTGGAGATAAAAATACTCATTGTGCTTCCGTCCCACTGGCCTTTTTTCTGCCCTTTGAACCAGTGGGTCTCTGCCTAGAGCTATCTTCCCACAGCTATTTGAATGGCTGGATCCATCCTCTCATTCCGATTATATATCCCTGTGACACCACAGGGAGATCTGATGTGTGCACGCTTCGACTCCCATCCTGGTAAACATCTGCAGTGTTTTATAGTCTTCAAAGCATTTATCATTTCTTGAAATTGTCTTCTTTCTTTGAGTTTAATCTCTCTCTCTCCCTGTCTACCCCCACTAGAATAAGCTCCAGGAAGGCAAGGACAATGTCTGTCTAATTTTCTGATATATCCTCAAGTAGGTGCCCAGAAATTATTCACTGAATGAAAGGAATGAATGATAAGCCAGTTCAAATGTCATCTATTTTATGTGACCTTTCTTGACTAACTCAGAAAGTTAGTTGTGTTCCTTCAGATCTTCCTATATATACATCCATGTTTTAGTCTGGGCTGCTATAACAAATACCATAGGCTGGGTAGCTTGTAAACAACAGGAACTTATTTCTCACAATTCTGGAAGCTGGAAGTTGGAGATCAGGGTACCAGCATGGTCAGGCGAGGGCTTTCTTCCAGGTCAGAAGGGGCTAGTTAGCTCTGTGGGGGTTCTTATAAGAACACTAATCCCATTCCTGAGGGCTCTATACTCATGACCTAATCACCTCCTAAAGGCCCCACCTCCAGATATCATCACATTGGGCATTTTGGATTTCAACATAGGAATTTTAGGGGGACACAAACATTCAGACCAGAGCAGCTCACAAGCATCCACATATATATAATCTATTACAGCACTTCATTGTATTCTCATTATTTCTTAATTTCTTTGTAACTTCAGTAGGCCAAGAACTGAGGGAGAAGACTGCATTTTCCTCATATCTGTTGAACTTATGCCATTTGCCAAGCACTGTTAATAGAAACTGGGGATAAAAGGATGACTGAGAGACCAAGTCCATTAAGTGAATGGCCACAACAAGCAGGATAGATACTCTGACAGGTGAAGTACATACCATAGGGGAGCACAAAATTAGGGAAATAACCAAGTCTAGGTAAAGGAGAGGCCTTTGGAAAAAAGTGACCTTTGAACTGACGATTGAAGGAGAAGGAGTTGGCCCAGCAGCTGTAGAGGAGAGGGAAAGGGGAGCACTAGTGAGAGGGCTGCGGGGTTGAGAAGGGTGCTACTGTGTTGTTTTGTGTTGTAAGATGGCTTTTTTTTTTTTTTACAGCATAGTGGTTAGACATTTTATAACTTAAGAAGTGATCCTTCTGATAAGTCTAGTACCCACCTGACACCATACATAGTTAATATTATTGACGGTATTCCTTATGCTGTACTTTATTTCCATCCCCAGGACTACTTTGTACCTGTCATTTGTATTTCCTTTTTTTTTAGCAGAATTTTATGGTTTTATTAACACAAAGATAGTGTTCACACAATTTATCTATTCATTTTCGTCGCTGCACAGCCTGGCATTGGGATTGGTGACTCTGATGGCCAGCTGGGCTGCACTTTCCACAGTGGCTTGTGGGTCTTTGAGGAGACACAGAACAGTCTCAGCACAGTAAGATTTGCTGCACATCAGCAGCACTTCAAGCTCCTTGACACTGTGGATCAGGAACTTCTGAGAGCCACTGGACAGCGTGTGCTTTGTTTTCTTGTTGCTTCCATAACCAGTGTTGGGCATTAAGATCTGGCCCTTGAATCTTCTGTGCACCCTGTTGTCAATGCCTCTGGGTTTCTGTCAGTTATACTTAACTTTGACATATCTGTATGACTGGTGCCAGATGAACTTCTTGGTCCTCCTTTTGATAATCTTGGGTTTCACGAGGGATCTGAGAGCAGCCATGGTGCCAAGGAGATGGCTGCCACCTGCCAATTTGTACTTCTTACCCCCTTTCCTATTTCACCTATCCCCCCAAACTCCTTCCCGTCCAGCCACCATCAGTTTGTTCTCTGTATCTATGAAACTGTTTCTATTTTGTGTGTTTTTTAGGTTTTAGATATAAGTGGTATTTGGCTTTCTCTGTCTGACTTAGTTCACTTAGCATAATATCCTCTAGGTCCATCCATGGTGTCAAAAATGGTAAGATTTCATTCTTTTTTATGGCTGAGTAATATTCCACTGTATATATGTACCATGTATTTACCCATTTGTCTATCCATGGGCACTTAGGTTTCTTCTATATCTCGGCTATTGTAAATAACGCTGCAATGAACATAGGGTGCATGTATCTTTTCAAATTAATGTTTTGGATTTATTCGGATATATACCCAGAAGTGGAATTGCTGGGACATCAGATAGTTCTATTTTTAGTTTTTTGAGGAACCTCCATGCTGTTTTCCAGAGTGGCCATTCCAATTTGCAGACAAGATAGGAGCATGTTTAAATGCTGTTGGATGGACCTACTAGAAAGAAGGAGAGACTGAGGTACAAGAGAAAGAAGGAGAATAGAATGTGGGCAGGGCAGGGATGCAGAACACAAAAGAGCAGTTACCTTGAGGAGCGGGGCTCCAGGGTTATAACTAAAATGAAAAGGTGATGTTTTTGCTTGAGAGTCTGGAAGTTTTAGTGACAGAAACTTGAGGACGTTCCTGCCTGGTTGCTTCTCTTTTTTAGTTCTCATATCCTAACAAACCACTCAAGTTCCTAGCCTGTGTGATAGAGTAAATCCCTCACTCCAGGGCGGGAACAGTGAAATTCCATCTTTCCCATGCCTCAGTAGGAGCAGTGTAAATAACAGTAGGGAAAAGTACAGTTTTCATGGGGTTTGGGAACAATGAAATAAAATAGTTAGTCATTTGGAATTAAATAAATTTGGGTCCCTATTTCAGTTCTTATGTAAAAGTTCAGAGAGATCTAGGATTTTTTTCCTTTAAATTTTTAATTATGAAACATTTCAAACATAGAGAAAATAACATCATAGAGACCCATAAATCCACTGCCAAGTTAAATAGATGTTAAATTTCACCATATTTGCTTCAGATCTCTGTTTTGTTTTGTTTTTAATTGATTTTTAGAGAGAGAGAAACATCGATGTGAGAAACAATGATTGGTTGCCTCCCGTTTGTGCCCTCACCAGGAATCTAACCTGCAACCTTTTGGTGTCCCAGATGATGCTCCAAACAACTGAGCCATCCAGCCAGGACCCTTTTCCCATTTTAAAATTGCATTATTTATCTTTTTATTATTGAGTTATAAAATTTCTTTATATTCTGGATACAAGTCCCTTATCAAAATATGTGTCTTGTAAGTATTTTCTCCCATACTATGGGTTGTCATTTTACATTCTTGATTGAAGCCTTTGCAGCACAGAAGCTTTAATTTTGGTGAATTCCAATTTATCTGTTTTTCTTTTTGTACTGTTGATGTCATATCTAATAAATCATTGCCTTATCTAAGGCCTTGCAGACTTACACCTATGTTTCTCTCTAAGAGTTTTATAGCTTTACATTTAGGTCTCTGATCCATTTGGAGTTAATTTTTGTACAAATGGTATGAGGTAGGAGTTCAACTTCATTCTTTTGTATGTAGATATCCAGTTGTTGAAAAGATTATTCCCATTGAATTATCTTGGTAACCTTGTTGCAGATCAAATGACGATAAAAATGAAGGTTATTTTCTGGACTCTCAATTTTACTTCATTGGTCTATATAACTGGATAGGAATTCCTAAGAACTAAAGGTAATTATTGGTTGTTATTACTATTTATTTGCCTCTCTGTCCTCACAGTTCCTCTGTGACGAGGGAGCTGGTATTTCTGGGGACTACATTGATCGTGTGGATGAGCCCTTGTCCTGCTCCTATGTGCTGACCATTCGGACTCCTCGGCTCTGCCCCCATCCTCTCCTCCGGCCCCCACCCAGTGCTGCTCCCCAAGCCATTCTCTGCCACCCTGCCCTGCAGCCTGAGGAGTACATGGCCTACATTCAGAGGCAAGCTGGTGAGTAATTGAAAGAGCAAGGAGAGGAAAGAGACATGGGGAGGGACATGCAGAAGGTAAAGTGCTGAAGAGCCCAGAGGAATGCGTCCCTGTCTTGCCTGCATGCTTTTTCTCGGTAGACTCCAAGCAGTATGAAGAGAAAATGATAGAGGAGCTGCAAGACCCTCAAATGTGGAGTGAGACCAAATCTGGGGTGGTACCTACAAAGAGAGCAGGTAGGAACTTGCTTCACCTGTACCATGAAACTTGTTTCCATTTCTTCCATTCCTCAGTCTTACTGTCCTGGACTGACTTTTGGGTGTGGGGTGAAAAAGTACTATGGGCCCTTCCCCCTTGGTAATAGAGGAGGGAATGTCTTCATTCTCTTTGTGCCCTTCCATTTCTCCCCTCCTTTCTGATTCCTCCCTGTTCTCTGTATCCCAGGTGCAAGCCCAACCAAGGATGGCAGTAAGGAATCAGATTTCTGGAAGATGATTCATGAACCAGAGGACCAAGTCCAAGGAAAGGACGAAGCACAGGCTGAGGTGAGAGCCAGCCTCCTAGCCATTTCTCTGATGAGGCTGAACCTGGGCTTTGGGATAGAGGGCCACTCAAGCTGAGATCATTATGAAATGACCTGCATCTGTCTAAGGATGCAAGGATATATCCAGAACCATTGCCTTAAGAGTATAAACATGTTTGCATTCTTGTCTCTGCCGTCTTCTTATCAGGAGCAGGAAACAAACATTGAGCCAGCAGATCCAGCTCCAGGCTCTCCCAGTGGTGAGTGAACCCTCCATGTCTCCTTTACTGCTTGAATGTATTTTCCAGTGGGCAGGGGTGGGGGTAAATGTAGAAATAAACACTAGGAGGGAAGTTGGGCAGCCAGGACAGCAGGGAATTCATTTTTACAGGAGTTAGTACTTTTTCTAGACAACAATTCTCTTCTATGGAGGTAGCAGACTTGGTGGTTCCACTACTTGGTGACTTTGTAATCTTGGACGATTTCACTTAACCTCAGTTTCCTCACCCATAACATGTGGGTAATCACTCCTACTTTAGAGGTGATTATGAGATTAAATGTGAATGTCTGGAACTGAGTAAACCATAAATGGAGAACAGGATCCAGGGAAGAGGAGCACCTGGCTCCAGAATCTCTTCTGGAGTCACCAAAACTGGAGTGATTGCCAGAAGGGCCTCGGCCGTACATGAAAGAGCAGGGGCCTTAGCAACTTGTAGGCATCCTTCTCTCTCTTGCCTGAGTCTACCTTAGGCCAGTGCTTTCTGGAGGGCTATATTGGCCCCTATCTTTCTGACCAGACAGATAGCTCCTGGAGACTGGGACCAATCCTTGGTCTCCTGAGCTCCTCTCCCTAGGAAGTCAAAATAGAGTTTAAGACACAATGGGTTCATTACTATTTTTCCATCTCAGATTTTCAGAACAATGTGCAGGTCAAAGTCATCCGGAGTCCTGCAGACTTGATTCGATTGATAGAGGAGCTGAAAGGTGGAGCCAAAAAGGTATGGGCCCTGCTCAAGGGACGGGTGGGACCTGTCCCCTGGTGGGAGCCTTTGGCGAACCACCCTCACCTGGGCCTGAGCTGGGCCCCATAGAGCTCACTTGCTGCCTTTACTTCCCTTCAGCCCCCACCACCACCCCC